GCAATTCCACTCCTACATATATAGCCAAAAGAATTGGAAACATATGTCCACACTAAAACTTGTACTGGAATGTTTACAGAAGAATTATTCATAATAGCCAAAAAATGGAAACAACCCAAATGTCCATCAGTTGATGAATAAGCAAAATATGGTATATCCATACAATGGAACATTATTCAGCCATAAAAAGGAATGGAGTACTGATATATACTACAATATGGATGACCCTGGAAACCTTTATATTAAGTGAAAGAAACCAGACACAGAAAAGCCACATATTTTATGATTCTGTTTACATGAAATGTCCAGAAGTGTCAAATCCATAAACACAAAAAGTCAATTAGTGATTGCCAGGGGCTGGGGGAAAGGGGAGAAATGGAAGTGACTGCTAATAGGTACAGGGCTTTTTTAGGGGTGATAAAATATTCTGGGATTAGATAGCGATGGTGATAGCTATAGAACTCTGCAAATATACTAAAACCTTTGAACACTTTAAATGGTAAACTTTATGGTATATACAATTTTTAAAAAAAAGAAATGCAAATTTTGGAGCCCCATCCTAAACCCACTGAATCAGAAACTCTGGGGGTATGTCCAGGAAAGGCAGCCCTCCAGATGAATCGGTTACATTCTTGGGAACTGCTGTTTTACATAAATTTTCTTCCAAAGGATGGCTTTTAAAAAAGTGGCTGCCTCAATGGAGTCTGGTTGGTTTGGAGGTTTGAACTAAGTCAATAATAGATGTAGCACTAGTGTAAAGTGGGCTATAGAGGTAGGAACACAGGATTCGATGTGTGACAATGTAGTTCCCAGAACCAGGTTATTAGTTCTCTTTCTTTTGGCAGAACATGCATACTTTCCAAGTCTCAACTTCCTCCTTTATAGTACTATAGGGCAAATCAAATGAGACTATAGGTACAGAATCTCCGAAAACTGAACAACTCTCAGCCAGGGTGGGCAAACTCTGTCCAGCAGTCCAAATCTAGCCTGCTTTGTTTTTGTACAGCCTATGAGCCAAGAATTGTTTTTACATTTTAGAATAATTTAAAAAACCCAGAAAGGAATAATACTTTGTAACATGTTAAAATTATATGAAATGATTTTAGGGTCTATAAATAAAGTTTTACTGGAATAAGCCATACCTTTTTGTTTAAGTATTGTCTATGGCTACTTATGCACAAGAATGGCTGCACAGAATAGTTGTGACCGAGATCATATATATGGTTCATAAAGCCTAAAATATTTACTATCAGGTCCTTGAAAGGAAAAACATACTGATCCCTGCTCTATACATAAAAACTATTGTTGTTATGCTTATTTTACCGATGTATCAGCTGCTGAACTACTGCAGCCAGTAAGAATTTGGCCTTTTAGAGGTGGCTTTGGTGGAGATATATCCAGTAAAGCATAATGGAATTTGAAGGAATTTGGAGAAAGGAAACTAAAGACATAAAAGAGACAGACTGGTTGCCAAGTGAGGAGAGACAAAAGGGATTAGAAGCTTCCAGTTTGGAGTAGGAAGTCTCATAAAGATTGATGTTCAAGCTAATGAAATTTTGAATAGGCCAAATACCATTCCTGCCCACAAGGTATTCTTGATGGACAGCAATAGACAAGCATACTGAAGAAACACAATAGTGGCCATGGTGTCCACCTTGGAAGGAAGAGGGCCTCAAGGTACCCAGCTCACTAATGTTGATACTCCTGAGAGACACTTTATCAGATTGTATAACTTGAAAATATTTTCTGACAACAAAAGCAGCACAAAAACAACAAATGAAATTTTAGCTGACCGAGTGCATTTCAAAGTGAACTGAGCAAAGAAAGTCCTAAAGATGCAATCCAATTGTCTTTAGTTGATGAGAAACCACTCCATTATTGTGTCCTTACATGTGTTTTATTTATCCCTTTATTGTGTGGATCGTCACCGGCTCCCTGCTAGCTTTAAAAAGACTTAATATGTACTGGTGATTGTGTTTGGCTAATTTCTTTCTATCTTTCTTCTCCCTCCAGCCCCCAACTTCCTCCTATTAAGAGGAACACAGCTGGTAATTTGGCCCCACCTCATAGGAAAGATGGATTTTAAAACAGGATGGAAAAGCACAGGTGATTCAAATATCCTTTCTATGTCATGCATTTAACCCTCTCATTTAATTTCCCCTTCACTGAGACACTTCCTTTTTTAAGATTGCAAACATAACCTGCACCTGCAATTACTTGTTAGAGAAATTAGTCCTGTGCTTTCCTCCTTAGGAACAAAGAAGCATTCAAATGTTTAGCTGACTAAATGCCAGCCTTTGTAGACATGGTTTCAAATTGGATTGGAATCCAAGTGTAATTAAATTCATAAAAGATTCTACCCTTGCAAATGATTTTTCTTTGGAAATACCTAAGCACATATTATAAATTAGATCATTTACCTTGCTATAAAACATCTCAGGATTGACAGAATAAAACTTTGCAGCTCTCAAGGTGGGATGATGCTACTACTGATCAGACTCCAGTAAGGCATGTCATAGATGTCATGGTGAAATATTATATTTTTAATAAAATATGTTTAAATATTATATTTTAATATATTATTTTAAAATATATTATTACATACTTTTAATATATATTTAAATACAAATAAAAAGTTTTGAAATGTTTAAAGTCTACTTTATATAAATGGCAGATATATACTGTTTTAATATTAATAATCTCATGTGCTTCTATGATTCACACCTGGTAAACCTCTATTGTCTGTAATATTACAATATTCACATAGTTGGTAAATGCATTTTTTTTCTGAAAATGTTTATTGCACATGTTTTAAACTGGATTTCCTTAGAGGCAGTAATAATTGAATATATTTTCTTGACAATAGAGGCTTTGTTTACATGTTTTCAAACAAGCTGATTGAAAACAAGAACACTAAATTAAGATCCAGATTGTTACTCTAAATGATGCTAAATATAAGAATAATTAGGAAAATTAAAATCCTTGACTGTATTTTCTCGCTCCCATATGAATGGTTATAAGCTACGAGTTAGAGGGTTACTAAGATAACTTAGCTTCACTCTGATACTTATATGCTGCATTCACACATTGCTGGGAGACTGGGTGGCATATTCAATGAGCATACAAAATAATTCAGATTTGTCAACTTGCTCTCATCAGAAAATGAAGCTTTGTCCAGTGCCATGCTATTTTTCACTAAAATTCAATAGAAAGCCAGAGTACTAAGAATACAATGCTTAAGTTCAGGATTATGTCTCTTCTAATATGGAAAAATTAGTGTCTTTGGATATCAAAACTTTCCCTTTTCAGATAGAAAATCACTGTTGTTGCAGAAAATAGTTTTAACACATTAAAAAGTTAAATTAATTTTCTAACTAGATGTAGCGCTAGCCATTTGAATAGAAAGACCCTGAATCTAGACTTCTAAATGCCAGGCTAATAACGTGGGTCATGTCATGACAGAAATTTGTCATGAATAAATGGTTTCTTGTAAGTGGCCTGGGAAAAATAAACCAATGTTCTACATAAGGATGTAACCTCACAATCTATTCTCTACGGTACCCAAGTCAGAGAGAAATGATCAGTTACTAATGGGGCAATACCAGGTTAGTCACATTATTATTTGCCTGCATGAATAAGAATTAAGCTTCTTTTCAACTTCTGGAAGGTCACCCATTCATCATTATAACTGCTAAATGCTTAGATCTGCAGGTATTACTGAACTTTCTGAGCCCTCTCCCAAACATCAATATGTCCTAGGATCTCCACTAAATACGAACAAAAGTTTTGCATTCTTTGTATCCATGTTGTCACAATTAAATGACAATATTGAGCTCTACAGGTTCAACCTTCAATTTTAAAGGGACAGATCATCCAAGGCAGTCAAAGAACTCTAAACTTTCAGCAGAGAAAAACTGAATGTGTTGGCTAAGAAAGCCACTGGATTATTAGTGGAAGGCTACATAAAAGTGGTTAAAAGCCTGAGTTTTAGAGTCACAGCAGGCCAAAGGTTTTGCTCTAACATTTATTTGTAAAATTATTCAAACTCTCAAAAGCTCACTCTGCTCATTGGTAAAATGGGAAGAATAATAGTACTTAGATTATAAAGATGTTAGAAGATTTAAATGAAAATAATGCCTATTGAGTGCTTAGTACAGAGTCTGTCTGGAATATGGTAAATTTTAGATAAACAGTAGCTTTTGTTATTGATATTAGGCATTTCCAGATAAAAAGGTTTAGATAAGAAAGGCCTTACCAAGAGTAATAGATGTTTTTTCTGTTTACCCCTCCATTTTCCAACTCTTTTTTACCCTCCTCCATGCCCCAGGAGACTACTTTGGATGTATTATGAGTGTGGCCAATGAGAGACACTAGCAGAAGAATGGGATAGAAATGGAGTCAAGATATTTATTTTCCCACCTCCAAGATGAACACCTCTGGTTGGCTGCGTCCCTTTACAAAAAGCAACAGCTCAATTTTGGCAGACCCCTCCTACAGCTACACTATGTTCTCCCTCCTTTTGGCCCTGTTGAGTTTGTCACCTATTTCCTGACCCAGTACGCCCTAATACATCAGAATCTAAGTGTAGCCTGTTGGTCCAGAAAGCTTAGTGTATTCTAGAGAAACCCAAGTGGTAACCTGGAAAAATGAAGGTATGTGTACAATCTGAAAGGTTAGATAAAGGCATAAAAGGAGACTCTAGAAAGATGGCTTGAAATGCAAGGAACAGGTTTCAGATAGTTTGTAGTCGGTCTACCAAAATAGCATCGGTGGCTGTGCCACTTCTGTGTGATTTCTTATGTTTGCCATGGATGCTGGTTTCTCCGCATAAAGGAACTTAGCTCAATAGGACAAAATAGCACAACCATTTTGTTTCTAAAGTCCAGTCTGCTTTTATAGGCTTCACCATCAACGTTTTAGAGCAACATTAACATTCTGTGGACTTCTCAGAATTGGCATGAGGCTACCTGCAGGATATTAAACTTCAGTTCAGAACACACACACACACACATACACACACACACACACACACACACACTAATTAGGAGAATCCTCAATGATATATAATACAAGAGAAAAAAGAGGCCCAAGTGGGAAATAAAGCATAAATGAAGAAAAAAAAACATTCTCTAATATGTAGTAATCTAATAGCAGTGTTAACTTTACACAGCTGTCAATTCAGTTAAGTGTGAGTCAGAATTTCCAATTAGGGTTAACAAAGACTCCTAAAACATCCCTTTTATTCAAGTAATCAGATGTCCTATTACAACTGGAAGGCCAGCATGATATATAGTTTGGCGCTTAGGACCCTTTCTATTTTCCTTTTCACAATTCTTGGCTATTTAAATTGCCCTCTCAGGAAAGCTAAAATAGGTGTGATTGTTAGGATATAGGAGAAAACATTAGGGTCTCAAGTCTCTTTGGGATTCTATGAAGGATTCTAACATTTCTGAGAGGTACCTTGTGGCCGAATATGCTAGCTCTACAACATCTCTGTTTTTATCGATGTTCTACACTGGATTGTCTTCTAGGCTCTGGTTTAAAGAAAGAATTCAACGGGTAAAAATAGTAATATGAAAAATTCCAGAGTCACTGTCTTTGATTTACATACATCTGTTAGTGACAGATACCTCTGTACATTATCAAATCCTAAACATTTCATCTTTTTCTCATGATATACTACAATGTTAATGGTTGGTACTACTTAGGAGATTAAACTATCTTTTATACCATGTAGCAGTTTAGATTAATCCTTTTAACTGTATGAGTGTGCACATATGAAAGACCTTTCATACTTATCTAGATCAGTCCTTGTATTCCTGTTTTATCTAGGCAACTAGGTAATTATGAGGTATTTTGATGGAAACCAGCTTTTAAATGTGGCAGAGCCTTATCTTTAACATAAATATTTTGGTAAACTATCTCACAGGGGCATCTTTATCACAACTTTAATTAAGACCACATTTGTACTGGAAAAGTTTAAGTCTTAATTTTAATAGCTTTTTTTGTCATTTTGGAAATGTTTGTCCTAATGAGTAGGCAGCTTACTTGTGTGTGCATTGCACACAGTAACATAATGAATGCTTAATATTAGCTATAATTGCATACTGACAATGTGAATGTCTTTTGAAAAATGATTGCTGGTTTTGTTTTTCAAAGGTAATGGAAACCCTTATACATGTCAATAAACTGCAGCAGAAGCCCCAGCAGGAATAGTTGAGAGGCAAATGGAATGAAGCTGTGGCATTAAAGCATTTGAGGAGTTTGTAATTCTAAACTAAAAATAGTTTTTTTCCTATAATGGTGTATTTTTTAAGTTATTTTTTATTTATTGGCAGAGAAAAAATTTCCCTGTAGCTAATATCTTTTGTCATCTGATTGCATGTGGTCAAAAGTTCTATCTTTACAGCAATCTGTGCGTTTTGTTCATCAAATAAAAAAGGAAAGGACTCTCTGCTTTCTATTTGACTGTTAATAGTTCAAATATTATCTTGTTGCTAAACAAAGTATACTTAATATATATTTTCATTTTATTGCTGTAATATAACCTCATTCATACATGTTAATATTTTCAGACCAATTTAAGAGTCAGTTTATATGATAGGATATAATACACTGTCCTTTGTTCAGTTAAGTTGAATTCAATGCTTTAAGAAGACTGACATGGGACGGGGGAAGATGTAGCAGCCTCTTCTCTGAACCACCCCTTTGCCTCTGGACTTCTCTGGGGCCAGCAGCCGCCTGAGCAGGGGCCAGGGGCCGCGGGCTCAGCCAACGACCATGGGCTCCGTGTCCAACCAGCAGTTTGCAGGTGGCTGCGCCAAGGCGGCGGAGGAGGCGGCGGAGGAGGCGGCGGAGGAGGCGCCGGAGGACGCGGCCCGGGCTGCGGACGAGCCGCAGTTGCTCCACGGTGCTGGCATCTGTAAGTGGTTTAACGTGCGCATGGGGTTCGGCTTCCTGTCCGTGACCGCCCGCGCCGGGGTGGCCCTCGACCCCCCCTGTGGACGTCTTTGTGCACCGGAATAAGCTGCACATGGAAGGCTTCCGGAGCCTGAAGGAGGGTGAGGCAGTTGAGTTCACCTTTAAGAAGTCTGCCAAGGGCCTGGAATCTATCCGAGTCACTGGACCTGGTGGGGTGTTCTGTATTGGGAGTGAGAGGCGGCCAAAGGGGAAGAACATGCAGAAGCGCAGATCAAAAGGAGACAGGTGCTACAACTGTGGAGGTCTAGACCAGCATGCTAAGGAATGCAAGCTGCCACCCCAGCCCAAGAAGTGCCACTTCTGCCAGAGCATCAGCCACATGGTAGCCTCGTGTCCACTGAAGGCCCAGCAGGCCCCTAGCGCACAGGGAAAGCCAGCCTACTTTCGGGAGGAAGAAGAAGAGATCCACAGCCCTGCCCTGCTCCCAGAGGCCCAGAATTGAGCCACAGTGGGTGGGGGCTATTCTTTTGCTATCAGGAAGTTTCAATGAGCAGCAGAGTGGAGAAAGTGGGGATAGGGTGGGTTGGGGGTGGTTGGCACTGCCATGTATCTCAGGCCGGGTTCATGGCATCACCGCTTCTTCCTTCTTGGTGGGGGGAAAGGGTGAGGCAAAGGAACCCTACCCATGCTCTATCCAAATGCAAGGGAGGGCTTTATGGGGAAATCACCCCAGAACCTGAATGCTTTATCTGAGACTCCATCCCGGAATCTCTAGCTTTTGAAAGTGGCCTGGATAGGAAGTTGTTTTCCTTTTAAAGAAGGATATGTAATAATATGATGCCCATGCCAGAGTGAAACGATTAAGTACAAGACCGGACTAATGGACCCCACCCATAAGCCACTACATTCTGTGGGAGGGAATCTCAGGAGTAAGGCAGGGTTTTTTCCATATCTTGTATTCTTATACCCATTCTTGAGATAGGGTGCTGGGAACTGTCCCAAGTGATGGGTAGTGATGATAGGCAGAAAGGGTGGTTGGGGGAACAGCTGCAGACCTGCTGCTCCTAAGCTCACTCCCACCCCATTCCGGGCCAATGTGATTTTACTTATTTGCTCCCTTGGATAACTGCACCTTGGGTCCCACTTTCTCCAGGATGCCAACTGCACTAGCTATGTGCGAATGACATATCTTGTGCATTTTAACTTTTTTTTCTTAATATAAATATTCTGGTTTTGTATTTTTGTATATTTTAATCTAAGGCCCTAATTCCTGCACTGTGTTCTCAGGTACATGAGCAATCTCAGGGATAAGTTGGGCAGCATCTCCAGGTCTGCACAGCAGGAATGGTTTTTGTTGTTTTTATCACCATACAGAGCAACTATTTGGAGTGCACAGCCTATTGAACTACCTCATTTTTGCCAATTAGAGCTGTCTTTTCTGCCATAGTATCTACTTGAAACCCCTTCCACCTTGAAAACGTTTCATGGGAGACTAGGTTCTAACTGGGTTGCCCCATGACTTGATTGCCTTCTACTGGAAGATTAGAAATTAGTCTAAACAGGAAAAGGTGCTGCAGAGAGGTTAGGAAAGGCTGGGCTAGGTGGAAGGCCCAGAGAGGAAGTCAAGGTTAGGTGAGGGTTGTCTAATCCTAGGGCACAGGACATGCTTTACATACTCGATCCATCCTTCACTGGGTTTGGCTAGACCTACTCATGCACAACAGAGTGTATGTGTGTTTTTGTAAAAACTGTGAGTTAGTAAGGATAAGTTTTAAGACCAATACCTCTGTACTCATCCTATGCTGTTGAGGGATGGATATATGAATTGAGGACTAAAATCCTTAACCTTTCAAATGTCTTAGGTTCCAGGGTGACCCATAAATGAGGGCCTTTTGTGGTGCCCTGAGCCAATGTCCTGCCCTGCTGCAGTAGTCATTAATAGTGTCATGGTAGCTGAAGGAGCAAAAGGGGGTTTCGTTTACATGCTGTGAGATCACCCCAAACCTACCTCACTGTGTTGAAACGGGACAAATGCAATAGAATGCATTGGGTGGTGTGTGTCTGATCCTGGGTTCTTGTCTCCCCTAAATGCTACACCCCTCTAGTTATTGTATTTGTCTGGGCTTTGTAGGACTTTACTGAGTTGGTGATTGCTAGGTGGCCTAGTTTGTGTAAATATAATGTGTTGGTTTTCATGTTCTTTTGGGGTTTGTTTACAAACTTCTTTTTGTATTGAGAGAAAAATAGCCAAAGCATCTTTGACAGAAGGTTCTGCACCAGGCAAAAGGATCGGAAACATTAGTGTGGGGAGGGCCTCTTCTTCAAGTGGGGATCTTGAACACCAACCTTTTTCTTTTGTGTTCCCCATGCCCTATTTCCTATTTTCCACCAGATCTTCTGTCCTAAAAACTTGTCTCCTACCCTACCCCCTTTCCCATCCCCCCAAAAAGAAAACCTACACATCCACACACATAATGCATTTAATTCTTGGGATGCCTCCACAACTCTTCAATGATTTATGCAAAAATCCTGAAGAAGCTAGGAACCCTCCATCTCTTGTTCCCAACCTCTTAAGTCAAGACCATTTCTTGATGGTGTTTCATGCCAAACACTTGAAACAACTGCTGTATTTTGGATGGCTCAAACCTACTTAATCTGTAATCTGAAAGTAGAGAGATGCAATTGGGGGCCTTCCATATAGAAAGCGAGGGCAAGAGACCAAGAAAGGGATTATGAATGTATATCCAAGTCACTCAGGAAATTTTATTATACAGGTGCAAGAAACTTATGTCAAAGTGGCCACAAGATTGTTTAATAGGAGACGGACGAATGTAACTCTATGTTTACTGCTAGAAACCAAAGCTTTGTGTGAAATCTTGAATTTATGGGGAGGGAGGGAGGGTAGGAAAGCCTGTACTTGTCTGTTCTTTTCCTGATCCTTTCCCCTCATTCCTGAACTGCAGGAGACTGAACCCCCTTGGGCTTTGGTGACCCCATCCTGGGGTATGTTTATTTGATGGTTGATTTTGCTGTACTGGGTACCTCCTTTCCCATTTTCTAATTATTTTGTAGCACACATGCTGACTCTTTTCCCTTCCTTCCTACTTTCCCTGGGAAAATACAATGAATAAATAAAGACTTATTGGTACTGAAAAAAAAAAAGAAGATTGACATGGGATCTAAAACTTGATTGCCAATTTATGAAACCTATGGTTTCATAATACTAGTTGTGGATGCAACATGTATCCATATAAGTGATGCCTTGAAGATTCAGCCATGGTTGTCTCTGCTTAGGCACCAAGAGTGTGATTACTTGGATTTCTGGGTTCATAATAGTTAAGATACTTGTGATATGTACTATTTGAGGAGTTTCTCTAATTTGGCTTTTGGAAAACATTCAAAAGGCTAAGTCAAGTGAGATAAAATATGATCAAATTTATATAACTAATTTGGGCATTCTATATTCATTAGCATTGTCTTCAGCTACTATTGTGGCTTATATTTTCTCAAATGACAAGAGCTTTGGGGGTGTATAGTCCAGGAATCAAATGGCAGCTCAATGATGCCACTAAGAACCCAGCCTACTTCCTGCTACATTATTCCTAAGAGGTGATTTTCATCTTCCTTACATTGAGAAAGTCATTGTACTTCCAGACTCACATTTAATATTTATCCAGGAAAGAAAGCCTGATAAATTCTTCCTAAATCTCATTGGCCAGAACTCTGCTCATGATTAATCCAAGCCACATGAAAGGTTGTGGAATCAAGTAGTTTATTTTCTGATCTCTATAGAACAGAAGAGGGATGAAAAAGGTGTTGAGTGAACCAAACTATAGTATCTTCTTACTAAGGAATTCTATTAATTATTTTAGCCTCAGGCAAAAATATGGGCATTCTCCTGTCCTCCTTTTATCCTTCACAAATACTTTAGAAACACATGCTGGTCGTAGCCAGTTGGCCACAGAGGCTCTCATTGCTCCCTGCATTTTCTTCAGAGTCCAGTTACTATGATAAATCAGACAGTAGATATTGTTGCCTCGCTAGAATTCATTTCTCCACTTTTTTGTACTATTACAATCCCAACTTTTATCAAATATCCTTCCAAGTTTGGGTATCCATATGTCCAGGAAGAAACCAAACTCATCCCAATTTTAGGGAGGGCCTGATTATTTTAAGAGTAATCTTGCCTACGACTGATTCTAGGCATGTGACCCCATTTTGACCTAAAGTGTAATAAAAAGTATTCTGGGAACTAAGGGAACATTTCCTTGCTCTTATGAAATATCTATAGGAAAACAGGTTCTCTTTGCTCCCTGTATATATTAATAGATAAGATGCTTAGGACTGTGGCACCCATCTCGCCACTATATATAGAATAATGCCACACTTAGAGAACAGAGGAATAGAAAACATCTGGACTCTTGATGATATTGCTAAATCAGCATTCCTTGAAACCCACTCCATTTTTGAACTTCCAGTCAAGTGAGACCATTCATTCCTTTTTATTTTAATCAGCTAGAGTCTGGGTTTCTGTAACTTGCAGCCAAAAGCATCTTAATTTTTATGAATTGTGTAAGATCTTTGTCCCAAAACGTTTTAAGAACTTGGCTGTTATCTTTGCTGCTTGTAACTCAAGTTAAAGGGGGTTTCCCAGAGAGACGTCATTGCATAAATGTACTAATATGCATCAGCACATTTAGAGCCAACTTACTACCAAGAATGTGCTAAGAAATGGCATTCTACTCCATGCTACTTCTAGCTCAGAATTTTGCCAATACAGGGAAATAAGCTACAGGTGCAATGCAGATCAATTGGGAAACATTTCTAGAAAATTGGTAAACACGTGGAAATTCACCAGCAAAATTATACTGGGACAACTGAGAGATAAGTATTGTGAAATGCATTAGAATTTATAAGGTCAACAGGCTGTCAAAATGTACCACCAAAGCAGTCAAAAGGACCCTTGAAATTGAACTGGATGTTAGGCTAATTGTGCAGCAAATAGAAGCAAGCTAATGCAAGTCAAAAGCTATTGTGCAAAAGCAAACAGGAAGAAATAGACAATGTATTATTATGCCCCCACAGTTCCCAAACTAGACTTGAGGTGGCATGTAGGAAATGAAATGTCTGATTGGGGTTTTAATTTCCTCAAAGTAAAATTTTGCCTGTTTTACTGGGATTGAATTTTCAGATGTAGAGCTAAAGAAGAGAGGGAGGGAATATGAGAGGGAGGGAGGGAGAGAGAGAGAGAGAGAGAGAATAATATAGCCAAAAAAAAAATCCACATTATCTTGGTAACAAGACAGAGAGATAAATGATACTAACATACAGGCTATTGCAGAACTTCTTTTACAAAATTATATTGGATTGTTTCCTAAGACACCTGCTCAGTGTTAGATACAACAGAAATCATGCAGTAGAAGCAAATGTCATGGGGAAAAAAGAAAAATGAGACACATTAAATACCATTTTTTAAAAGTGGTCAGTGTAAGAGAATGCATCATTGATGATTCAAACACAAATGTGTTAGTAGAATGCTAGAAAATAATGGCATAAATAAAGCCCCAAGCAAATTGATTTTCTTTTTAGACTCTCTTATTTTACAAATCATTTATTGTATTTTGTCAGAATCTTGGCATTTGATTAGTAGATGGCATGGTAAAATAGAAAGGTATTGGAAGATATTTATTAAAAATATAAGATATAATGCCAACTTGTGATTAATTTTAGGGACCTTTTCCTAGAGAGGTTTAGAGTAAAAGATAGTGTTGTTCTAAGTCTCAGTCTAAGTTTGCATACTATTTTGATTACCTAAAAAGATAAAGGTGTGAAAAACATATACGTATAAATAACCAGGAAATGCTAATGTGAATTTTCTTTTTTTTTTTTTTTTTTTTTGAGACAGAGTCTCACTTTGTTGTCCAGGCTAGAGTGAGTGCCGTGGCGTCAGCCTAGCTCACAGCAACCTCAAACTCCTGGGCTCAAGCGATCCTCCTGCCTCAGCCTCCCGAGTAGCTGGGACTACAGGCATGCGCCACCATGCCCGGCTAATTTTTTTTTTTTTTATATATATATCAGTTGGCCAATTAATTTCTTCTTGCTCAGGCTGGTTTTGAACTCCTGACCTTGAGCAATCCGCCCGCCTCGGCCTCCCAAGAGCTAGGATTACAGGCGTGAGCCACAGCGCCCGGCCTGAATTTTCTTTATTATTGAAACTTTCTGAGATTATGCAACTCTTGAGTAAAATATTATTGAGACACAATCGCAAACATGTTTTTCACATGTTTAGTAGAAGACAAGTATTAAGAAGGACTAATCAAAACAGTGACACACAGAGATTTGGGAGTCTAGAGGAAATTAAATACATGAAATGGCTCATCTCTTTCTTATCCAAACACCTGTCAAGTTTCAAGGTTAAAGCCATATTTATGTTTTGTTTTGTTTTTTTCTATCTCACAATTGGTAAGGTTATATTTATGAATATTATACCACCTAATTTCAAAAATTTCAAATC